TATGCCATGACTCGAGTAACAACCTTCTCCTCCAGTTCTGCTTACTTTCAAGGATGGCCGTCCCTTCGAAATTGATCTGGTGATGCAACGTCTCAGCATGTTCGGGGACTGTGCTGCGCTCTTTGTAGAACTTCCGCACATCGTTGGCGTGTTGATTCAGTCCTTCCGGTAGGTTTTTCGTCTCGTCGATGTACGATGAGGGGCACTCGGCGCATGGAATTTCGTAAACGACACCGGGGGTCCTGTCCATTGTTGGCCGGTCTTTCGGGCGGGGGAGGAGGCGGCCCAGTGTACACGAAGGCACGTGTGCGATACGAACTTCTTCCTTCTTGAAAATTCGTGCCAACATCTCGCTGGTTTTCTGAACGTATGGAACCGGTACGCGTTTCGGGGGCTGCCAATTAAGATTGATTGGGGTTTTCGTATTCTCTGTTGCTCTGTGCAGCGGGTGGCGGCTCGAATGAAGTTTTTTGGTATTCGTTTTTTCTGAGGTCCGCAATTACGCGGGCCTCTTCTTTCTTTCGCTCTGCCTCATTAGAGCACAAGTTTCAAACTCTCTCGAGTAGCGTGGTCACAACTGAAGCCTTGTGGCAGGCGGGGTGAAAAGAATCGAATTGAAGGTAGCGGCCAGTGTGCATTGGCTTCCTATGAACAGAGAACTCCAGGCCGTTGCGCCAGCTAGACGTCGAGAAAGGGCAGGCAGTGGTCGCTTTCACACTCGGTCGTGAATTGTATGGCTGGGTGCACGGAATTTAGGTGTTGTCTGAAGTTTTCAACTTCAGACGTCTTAATGACGCAAAAGCAATCGTCTATATAACGCAGAAAATGCTTGGGTCGCGGCGAAAAGAAGCTGAGTGCTTTTTTTTCTATGTACTCCATGATCAGGTTTGCCATCGTGACGGAAATGGAAGCTCCCATTGCGGTTCTATTGTTCTGCCTGAAAATAGTTCCTTTGTAGGAGAAGTACGTACTGGACAGGCAGAACTCCAGTAGACGGCAGAGCTCGTAAACCAATAAAGGAGTCCTTTCACTCAGGCCTGCGTCCTCCTCAAGTGCAGAACGGGCAGCGGAGACAGCTAAGGGAACTGGAACATTGGTGAACAATGAAACGACGTCAAATGAGACCATGCTCTTGTCATCGCCGGAGCTCACATCTGGCGCTAGCTGCACGAAGTGGCTGGAGTCGCGGACATGAGATGGTGCCTTCCGAGTTAGTGTGGCGAAGATTCGGAGTAGAAAATTTTGAAGGGGCTCGGCATGGGGAGGAAGTAAAGTCTAAAATTGGTCGGAGAGGGATGTCAGGCTTGTGAATTTTTGGTAGTCCATAGAAACTCAGTGCGGATTCGTTACGGCAGATTAGTCGCAGTTAAAGTGTTCTGAGATCCAGGTAATGCTTGAAAATTTCCGCGAGTAGCTTGTTTAGCTGTGTCTGGGTTTGCTTTGTTGGGTCCTTTACTAGCTGTGTGTATGCGTCCCCTTCTAAAAGAGCTAAAACCTTCCGATCGTAGTCCCCGCTGCCCAACACCACCGTCGAATTACCCTTGTCGGCGGGCAAGATGACAATGCTTCGATACCGTCGGAGTTTCCGAAGTGCCTGGTTCTCCTCTGTGGTCAAGTTCTTTTTCCTTTGTAACGGTAATATCGAAAGGATCCCAAATGATTTCAGCCTAATTTCTTCTCAGGGGCCCGTCCTCACGCTTTGGACAGCTTCCTCTACAGCTGCGACAGGTTTCGGTAGACGGGGCGTCATTGACACGTTATAACCATGTCCCTTTGCCAGGACAGAAGCTTCCTGATCAGTGAGTGGACGAGATGACAGATTGGTGACAAACCTGAAATTTTGGATGCTTTGGGTGGAACTCCGGTCCAGCAGGTAGGAGAGTTTCTTATCCTGAGTGGTCCGGTGCTCTCTTGCCATCGATGCTGCAACGGAGTCCGCGAACACGTCTACCGCCGACATCAAGTCAGGGATGCGGTGCTTAAGTTGACGCTTGGCGAAGAACAGGTCCAATTCTTTTTTTCCGCAAAGAGGCAATAATTTCATGAAGGCGGGTGTTGATCAGTCATTGTTCGGTGTCACAGGCTCCGTTAATTAGGGAGGCGATCGCCGGGCTAATTCCAAGGGCCGAAGTATCGGCCCCCCGAACCGCACCACAAAAGCGTGGACAATTTAGAAGTGGTCCTATTTGGCGCGCCAGCGGACGCCCGCTGTGGCCCAAAGAACAAGTCAGAGTCGAGAGTTGATAAACAAAACAAAATTATATTCTCAATTATGGCAGATCAAAACGATACACAAATATGCACACTCGACAATAGTTGAATACGATATGTCACCAATCAAACAACGTACTACACAGTACAATCAGCCACACTCGAAACAACGGATACAAACAACAATACGCACTACAATGCAGTCGCATGCATCGAACAACCAAGACACTTAAAGACTAAAGAGTTCGAAGACTTATTCAGTCCAAAGTCCTTGGAACAAAAGTCTGAATGATACTCTTCCGAGAATCACTCACTCAATGTCCAGCGTTGTTGTCGTTCCGCTGCCCCCGAAGTTTCTCTTCCAGGAAACCTCGTGTCTTCAATTGGCCGCTCTCCAAGCACCAAACTTCTTCGCTGGTAACACGTCGGCTTCCCACACGCAACTGTTGCCACGCGTCTTCGCTCGCTGGCGGTAGATACACACTCTTGCCTGTAGCTCGAGTCTTCACCCCTCAGGTGGAAATCCTCTTTTTCTCCTCCTTTGTCACTGAGGACAAAAGGCTTTGCCGACAAGGCGGAACACCCTACGCACTCTGGCGCAATATTCCTTCTTCTCCTGCTTTGTCACTGAGGACAAAACCTTCGCTGACTACCCGGCGAAACACCCTATGCACTCTGGCGCATACTTTATTTTTCTCCTTGTCACTAAGGACAAAACCTTCACCAACAGACTCGGCGGAATGACCCTACGCGCACTGGCGCTAACTTCCTTTTTCTCCTCATCTCCCATCTCAGCTGCTCGGTTAAATACCTTCTGCGCAAGATTCCAGAAAATTCTCATCATTTTGTGGGCGGGATACGCAGCGAAGGCTGAGGAAAGCGCGAGATGGTTCGAGGGCCGTCCGCGACAGATGATGCAACCCTGCATCACCACGCCCCTTTCCATCGAGAACTTTCCAGGGCTTGCTCGGCCGCCGATGTGAGGAGGTTTGTCGGCGAACCTACGCTTCCGAGGGAAGAGGGACGCACGTCTAGCGAGTCTTTGGATGCTTGTTTTCTTTTTTTTTATCGTTGACCTCGAGGCGTCTCTCCGGTGCTTTGTCGCGAGAATTTGGCGGCGCGCCCTTTTTGAGAGCTCGTTTTGTGACATTCGGCTCTCGGAATTAAGTCGAAACCAAGTCGGTTTCAAAACGTCGGGTTTCTTCAAAACTTTTGGTCGGAGTCTAAATCATCTTGCACACAAAAAAACTGGTTTGGCCTCCAAGTGGACGTTTTTATGGGCAGGTCCATATACAACAAACTACAGATATAACGGCCATTTATTGCAGCACTTTTGAGTTCGTTATGAATGTTATTAACGAGTCCGACTGAAAGATGGGCATATTTATTATGACTCAACTAACCTGCACAATATTTTATTTAAAGTTGAAGCAAGGCCTGTGCGAATGCCATTCTTTTAGGTTCAAAGGAAGTGGAAACATCTTCGAATAAAAGTGGGGTTTTATTTTCAAGAATGGAAGTACTAACCTGTAAAATTGATTACATTTTAAATTTACTACTGACTGACATATGAGCCGGTATAACAAGATTTTAAACTTTAAAAAATTATCAATCAATGTGATGGTAATATGCTTCTTGGCAATGCGAATCAGTGCGAATTTCTCCTGAATAGGTGTTTTCACAGCCTTGCACCCCTACACTGCAGTGAAACTACCTTTGCAAAAAGTTGCATGTGGATTAATATACATCCTATTCGTTCATTTTCATACTTCAAAATTTCCAATAATTTAAATTCAATTCGAAGCAAATTTGAATATCATAATATCCATTCAAATATTTGAAGTGTTTGATTATTCACACAAACCTACATTTTACTGATATGTATAAGACCTGGCCATGATACGTGTCTGGCCCGATACAACAATCCCCTACCCGGCCTGGCCCGGTCCCAAATTTCATTCACCATTCGATATAGTTTTTGTGTGGTGCAGTTCCACAAGAAAGTCCACATAATCAAGAAGGTCTGAAAAGTTAGCGACCAACTTTCCACAACAGCACTTTTTTTTTTGTTTCGGCTGCAGAATTCATGTACAAGACCAATCATACTAGATACAGTTGCTTCATTGCAGTAATTCTGTTTAAGAGACTTCCATTAAAATTCTACAGCATGTAATTTGAGAGAACAGTGTGCCATGACACCTCGTTGAGAGCATGTCAAGTGCTCCTTTAAAAAGAGCCAGAATACCTACTTTTTATCAAGATAAAATCAGCGATTACGGATACCCTTGATCAAGTAGCAGCAGAATGTGCTTTGCTGTGTTGCTGGTGGTCTTAAAACTGTACCAACTGGCTCAGGTGGTGTTGGCTCAAATGAAAATGGTGATAATGAACTCTTGGATTCATTAACACCATAGCTGTCACTATTTGACAAATCCAGAGACATGGTGCTATGATAAGGAGTTGCCACAAATCCACGGCATCTGTTAGCTCTTTGCTTTCATTGTTCTTGTTCTCCACAATGGCAAGACCAGCATGCCTGTCAGTCTTCCCAGCGAGTGCATACATGTAGTACATCATACAAAATGGTACTGCTCAGTTTTGTTTCGCTATTGCATTTTCTTGCTTATAAAATATTATTTTCACTTTTTCTAGACATTTTCCCTATGAGAAGCACCACAGGAGCACCTTGAGAACACAGTATTGCCATTAACTTGACATGCTAAAAAAATGAATGGTGTTGACCTTTAAGGCCCAGTAATATTAGATGGAAAACAAAATTCACAGCTCACCTAAGACTATGCCTCCAATGGCCCCAAAAGCTTGGATTTTTCTTGCCTAGAAATAGACACAAAAATTACTGCACAAAGATACAAGAGTCAGTATCTCCTAAAGTATATATCCTAATGAACCCTTGCAAAAATTATATTGTTACTCTGTAGGAAGAGATGCAAATCAGACATGAAGCGACAGCAACTGCCCAAAACTTTGCAGCTTGGCCAAAGTTTAACAAGTACATTCTAATGTATGCATGAAAGAGTGCAAGGGCAGCTGATAATTGCAGCCCAACTGGAGTGCAAACATGCCAGCCTTCTCCCGCAAAAAAAAAAAAAAAAAAAAAAAAAAAAAAAAAAAAAAAAAAAAAAAAAAAAAAATTCTGGCTACTTCCTACTGTGTAGGGTGCAGTGTTCTATTGGCTAAGTTTGCGTTTAAGTGAATACAGCATGAAGGTCACTTTGCTTATTGCAGCGGCCATGTTTTCTTGCTCCAGCATTTTGTTGAGTTATGCTAAGCTGGATGCTAAAGAAGTTAAGGAGTTAGTGGCTTGCCTAACTTTATAGCATTCCAGATTCATTGCTTCCCCCTTACAGTGAAAGTGTGACGTTACTAGGTTGAGGAGAAGGTGCCCACTGCTAACAGCTTTGTGCCCCATGACCCATTTGGATGTGACTGCCTGTAAGCGCAATATTGCACTCTATCGTAAGGGCACTCCAGTACAACAATGGGTTTCTTATATAAATTACAAGCAGAAACCACACAGCCCTCCTGGGCACAACTCAGACATGACTTTGAATTATGGTACACAGTGATTACAGAAATGTGGGTTAAATGAACCAACTAATAAAAAAGGGGCAGGCAACCTTTTTCTTTTTTTACAGTTTGTAAGGCACTGATATTCATTGCATATGAAATGTGACTGCTCATGAAGACTTTTTTGCAATGGATACATTACTACAATCCAAGGCTGTTACTATGGGCCTATATAAGAATGTGCTTTTGAATACTGGCCCAGTGAACCACCAATGATAGCGTTGTGAATAATACTCAGACAATTTCAGCAGGGGGATTCACCTTTTGTCTTCTGCTACATTCTTCCTAATCAACTGCAGTTTTATAAATGCCAGCAATAGAAGGTTAAGAAAAGCTAATATTTAAAGAGACACTAAAAAGAGAAATGATTTCTCTTGCATTAGAAAACTGCCCTTCTGCGATCCCTCACCAGAATATACTCTAATATGCTCATATCCCAAACCCCCCATGCCCACAAGATCTAGAAGTTTCTTCACATCAAGGCATTGAAAAACAAGATTTTGATTACCTTACTAATCATTCCAAGCTTGCCTCAAAAGTGTGAAATATGCTTCCATCTGAAAACACTCAGAAATCCTGGACCTCACTACTATACTATCCAGGTTGTGGCGAAATAAAAGCTACTACAAGATCCAAAAGTTGCAAAAAGCTCCATAGAACTCACTTTCTCAACAAACATGCACTCGCCACGCTCCATGATGACAATCTTGCCCTTAATATCGTGGCTGTTGCGCAACTCTCCACAGCCACGCAGAGGGTCAAGCAGCACAAGTGGAGCACGAACTTCATTAGCTGGCTTCCCAAGGTCCTTTCCAAACTGAGCAGGCCCCGCTTGCAGAACCATATGCGTCTTTGTAGAAGGCAATGTGAATGTCACAGACCGTACATGCTGTTCTGCACACAAAACAGGAAAAACAAATATTAATACGAATAGCTGAGAGAACTAACCATTTAGCAGTGAGCACACTATCAATGGCCATTCATTATTGGAAAGAGGACTGCCACTATGCATTAGGCCTCCACTTTAATTGCTTTCCATTTGTATCACTACACTCCACTTACTATGAATGATGCCTCCTATGTTTCCTTGGTTTCACTGGGTTGTTTGGGTCTAACAAAAAAACAAGCCTCTTTATTAGCCCTTTCATTCTTTTATGATCAGCTAGTTATTGCCACAGCCAAAGTCTCTAAGGATATGCTAACCAGTTTAGCAGAGACAAGAACATGCAGAGGAGGAGTGTTGTGATGAGAGATAGCACTGCTCAACAGGTGTGCTGTTGACTTGCCTAAATGGAAACAGATCGATTTGCCCAGCTGAGTAGGCTGGCCAGCAACTAAGAAAACTCGTTGAGATTGCAATATCAGTGATAAAAGCGACATTTTGCTTTTTGGAGCAGCCTTAAGTGTCTTCAAAGCAGACACATGTTCATAATGACTCTTGAAGTCTAAAACATCACTTAAGCATCTAATAAATATCTATATTTATATTAAACATGCCATATGCTAGTATACAAGCAGTATAGTTGGCATAAATCACGGGCAAGGGGTCAAAAGAGTTTGGACTTCGCTTCTGTTCAGGCTGGGGAGGACGACCCTCGCAAGTGCCCCCCTTGAGATTTAGCTTTTTTAGCACGTGATATAATTGAGTTAACTGTTAAGTATAGTGCAATCAACTTTTTAAAAGGCTTTTTATCTTTTACTGCATACCTGTGTTAAATGCCCTTCAGCTGTGTGAACTATGGAAATCGAAAAAAGGTGAAAAAAAGAGACTAAATAGAACAATGCAATTGCTCAAGCTCGAACCCCATGCTTGTTTTTTAAAATTTTATTTGAAAGCATAATTTGATTTCTATATAAATAAAAATACAACCCATATTAAAAATATTAATTGCACACCATGGTGTGATATGCGTCACCCCTTGAGATTTTTCTGGATTTACGCCATTGAGTAGCACACTAAGATGATAGTGTATACAGCTTTCGGTTTCGCTTAGGCTCACAGGATGGTATCATGGTTTAACTTCATTCTTTTTATTTTGCTAACATCCTTTCAAAGCAGGTTTGGAGCAGTTACTAGCAAATCTTTCACTTTAAAGCAGCACAGAGCAGCATTTCTCTTTTAGAGTACCTTGGAGCAGCACCTCTATCACTGCAATATTGATGAAAAAAGTTTGCACACTGCAACCTGAATATTCCACAAAATAAAAACAATTTGAGTTGTTTGAAATATGACACATGAAAAATTCATGAAACAGACTCTCGGCATGCCCTCACCATATCATGAGAATGTTCAGAAGATGCAGGCATAACAGTATACAGTAAAAGCTCGCTAACTTGAACTCAAGGGGACCATAAATTTGTTCAAATTAAGAAGAGTATGCATAGGCGGGCAGGCACCACAGTCATCCCACAGCGCGGGCAGAATGTAAAAAAGAAGCAATCTCTGGACACAAACTATGCACGTTTGTCGCATGTGATTTCGTAAATTAAGTTCATGGAGCTGCAACAGCAAACAGAATTAATTGATCAGTCTGTGATACACCAGAAACAAGCACCAAAATGCATTCATGTGAGTGGTAAGCATTAATGTTGAAATATATCATGTTATTTAAGCTCCAAAATATGTTTATTTGCCTGGCAGAGTGAACACAATCAAAAATAAAAGTAATTTGCTCATGCTTCTTCTGTCGCACTCCATGAGCATCGTTTGAAGCTTACTCAAGAGCTCCAGCGCAGCGTCCAAATTCTCATCGCTGAGAAATGCCGCTGTTTCGTTGTTTTGCATCTCTAATAAATTTGGTTTGGTTCAGTTTTGCAACTCATTGAGATCACTCTGGCCGACTGCTGCGAGGAGCAATGAAAACCAGGGGCTTCCAGCTCGAACGAACCGTTGTGGCGTCAGACGTATTCGAATTATCAGGAGTTTTTCCCCATAGACATACACAGGGCTGTGCCGCGAGCAGGGCGTCAGTTCAAATGCACTGAAAGTTCGAATTAACTAAGTTCGAATTAACAGGCTTTCGCTGTATATATATAATAGTAGCTGCAAGCACACCTTGTTGGTTCTGATGCTTTGCCAATTCTATCATCTCTTGCATGAACAGCAGGCCCTCCTGAGCATCTTCAGGGCTCTCGGCCTATAATCAAACAACCAGTACAGAATTCATGACAGTAAATCTTCAATAGGTACAGAGAAAAAAAAAAAGCCCTACACACTAGCACAAAAAGATGCCAGCTGTGACACTTCAGCTGCCAACATCCCTTGTGGAAAGTGGGAACGAATGAAAACAAGGTCATTAAGAGAAACAAGCTACTAGGAAAATCTAAATATTTTCTGCGGTTCTGTTTCTGCATTGTTTGTTTCTTTCTGTTTCTGTTTTGTCTAAAAAACTTTTTTTTTTTCAAAATTTTCCTGCCCACAAATACCATCCTGAACAGACTCTTTTTAAAATGCAATGAAGAAATTTCGTTTCAGACATAGTTTGAGCCCAAATTCTTCTTTAACACTCCATCTAAGACCTATACATTTGATTTCTGTTGTCCTTCAAGAAGCTTTTGATTACAGAAACAAACTATGCTTGCATCTCTGTGAGAATGTTGTCATATGAACAAAACAAATATTCATTGAAGTTAAGAAGGTTTGAGCAGTTTAAAGTCTAATGCTCAAGATGCTGGTAGTACTGAGCAATGAGATAAAATACAGTGTTTTTGTCTTACCAATCTTTAACCTTTAACTCAATGCAGGTGTGCAACAGCCAAAATACAATTTGGAGCAATTTTTGGAGTAGGTTACCAGAAAAAAAAAAACATGCTCTTTATCATAAAGTACCAAATTTGGAGCAGTAGAAAAAAAAGGCTTACGTTTATAAAAAGAAAATGTGTATAAAGCATTCAACATAACCTAAATCGTAGAATCTGAACATGAGCACTGCTATTTCAATAAAAGTAGTATTTTAACAAGATAGCATTGAAGAGCCAGTTTTGCAGAAATTCCGGCGTCAGTGTCGGTGTCGCTGGTTGTGAGCGAAAAATCATCATCTGATGCGTGACCGAAAAATAGAGAAACATGCAAATAAAATAATTAAAATCTGGGTTTGTGTAAGGATCGAACCTGGGTTGTTTGCGTGGCAAGCGGGTGTTCTATATACCACACAACCATGCGTCTGCTTGTGAATACAGTAAAAATAACTTTCTCTGCTTGGAAATGCAGTGAAAGTAGCTTTCATGCTTTACAAGCACATGCGTCCTGTATACATTCTTTGCAACGCAACATGAAATATTGCAGTAATAATGCGTGGTACAAGCGTACTTGCCAGCGGGCGTCATAATATGTGATTATCATGATGGCGTCATGGTTTAAAGCTGGTCACCCACTACAAAAGACACACATGCTACTGTGTATGTTCCCTTAAGACATACTTTATTCCCATAGCAGGTTCGAAAAGATTTTATGCACCAAGTGTTTGAAGTACGCACTAGGGACAGGATATCGCTGTTGCGTTCAACTCCTAAAAGCGAAGCTTTAGGGTCCCCTAATTTTCGAACCACGCCACTCGGCAAACAATGATGAAGTCCATTGACAAAGTCTATGTTAGCATTTGATGTGCCTGTCAAATCATTTGACAGACTATGCGAATTTAAATATGAATTTGCCAAGCTTGTGTACTCGTAATTTGGGAGATGTGTAAAATCAAGGAGTAGGGGTGGCAAAAAGAAGAAAAGAAAAAAAAAACTGGCGCACAATTTAGTTTTTTTTTAGGCAAGCAGAAATGTCATACACTGCTCCAAGCTTATTGAGACGTCAGTGATTATAGTGGTATTCCGAATTATGTGGCGTACAAAAGCATGAGTAACTGAACGAAATCGGTCAGCGTCCCGAGACTGGCGCCATCAGCCCCTTCCAAATTTCAATACCGTTTTGATCGGCCTGCCTGGCTTGGCGCCATCTGGACGCATGAGACGCATCTGAGCCTACCCTGATTTGTTCTGGATCAGTGCTCCCAGAGATACCTGAGAGAATTTTGAGGCTGGCTGTAAAATATGTGGTTATGGAAGGACCTTATCCCTAATTTTGACAAACGCTTTGACATGAATATTTGCTGCAGCATAGAAGCCAAATTTATATACCAGGATATTGATACACGGTGCTTTCTTTGAAAAATCCTACAAGCCACTGCAACAGGTGAAACTATTGATAAATCTTGACTGTTGTGTTTCATGAAAACTTAAGTGCCTTCCATGAAGTCAATTTGAATAAATAGAAGTACTAGATATTTTTTGTAAAAACAAGCTAAAACGAAAAAGCCCGTCCAAGCACATGCACATAGTGTTTACTGTAACTGATGCAACAAATAATCATTAAGAGACAGCCCTGCACAAAAAATATGCAATAGCACCAAGAAATTAGTTTTTTTCTAACTTCAATATCCTTACTTGAGGAATTGTCAAAAGTACCCTAAAACGGTTTTGGCGATTTTGTACAAACATATTGGGCCAGTATACCAAGTCCTAATGGTCCTTTAGAGACTAACTTGAGCTCTCTGTGTAAACTGCATAATTTATTACAATGCTTTAAAGCTGCCAATCGCTGCAGATTGGTGCAGATCACTTCGTCTCGGAAAAACGCGTTTTCAGCCGCCCATTCGCAGAGCGACATGCTCTGGGCCATTAGATGTCACTGTGGCTGCTGATCTGATTGGCTGTTATGAGCTGTAGAATGTGCTGAAATAAGAGCGGCTGGTAGGGTGGCGGCACCTGTCCGAGCAAATATGAACCACTCCGCGATCTTCACCTCTGTTGCCAGACGGCGTGTGTGCTGCAGGGCACACTGTGTGATGGCTTCCGAGACTGCTCGCAACCTGTCCGTGTGCTATTTCGGAGGTCTTGACTGGTAAAAGCTCAAACCATCGAGCGCGCTCATGAGAGCTCTGCGATCGCCAGCGACGCCAGCATGCCTCATGAGTTGAGGATACCAAGCAGAGGTTAGAAGGATAGTATGATATAATTGTCCTTAGTGGCCATGGTAGACGGCGTGTCACTAGATTTGTGGTGCGAATGATTTGATGATGCTCTAGCCTAAACGCTGGCAAAACTTCAAAAGACGATTTCAGGGTCCCTTTGATGTTTATAAGTCAAGAGCAGTGATTTTTGGGCAAGTTGGTTTTGCTTGTGTTTTCATCCCTTCCACAACACAATGACATGTTGTCATCACTTCCCTCTGTCCTTGTGTGTGTGTAGTAAGTGATCTATACATCAGAATGCAAAACTTGACAACAGAAGATCTAGTTGTCTCACTGTTAATTAAATGCTTTGTAGGTGACTGAACAAAAGCAAAAGTTTTCCAATGTTATGTTTTGCTCCCAATGTGCTAGAACTACCGAAAGTCAGATTTGGCCACACCTCCTGTTAACTTCCCAAATATTCAACAGCAATGTTTAGTTGAAAAGCTGCTGACTGAAAATTTTGGCTAAAAAAGCACTTATGCACTTGGGTAAACTGGAGCCCTTTGCTACTCAACGGAGTTGTGCCAGAGATCGTTTACGATAGCTAAGACAAAGTATCAATTCATGATGGCTGCAGTCCTAAGTGCAAAAGTGCAGCAAAACATTACTGCCATCTTCATGAGAGGATCAATAAGCATAAATTCACATGCAACATGACAAATAAGGGTTTGAAATTTTGATGTGAACATCTGATGTATCATTTAGCTTGTGATGATAAGCTGCAGCATAGCGGTCTCACTTTAATAAACAAACACTTTCCTGGGGTACCTTCAAGCTTGTTCAAGTGAAGTTTCCCTGTAAACATTTAATTAGCACATACTACACATACTACCTTACAATCTAGCAGCAACCAATCATAAAAGAATTCACTTTTGTGTGAGAAAAGAAGAAGTAATTTCTCTGGAAAAAGAGGAACTAGAATTTGCAGTGTCTCACTTAAGAAATCTCTACTCAGCCTTTTTCCAATACACGCTACCTCGCTGTCATACAGTTAAGACCAATTTAACATGTATGAAAAAGAACCAATTTCTTCATCAAACAAAGCATGGAAAAAAAAATTAGAAAAACTGTGCTACCTGCGCGGCGTTGTGGATGAGTTGAATACGGCCGTCAGACATAAGTGTCACAAATACGCCCATTTTCTTGACCAAGTTCAGGTGCTCCTTCTTGTTGGCCTCAAATTGTGATGCATGGAGCCTCCTAGTACTTCAAAGGTAAATAGGAGGAGAATGTTTTTTAATGAATCACAAATAAATTATGTACACGTAACTTCTCTAAACGCAATACCTCAAGCATTAAGCAACAATTTACAAATTATAAGAAGTGCTGCTTTACTGTATAAAATATGCATTTGGAAATGAGCTATAATCTTAATTGAACTAATCAGTGCAGGTTCATAGAGAGAGCAAGTAAACTGAAGTGGAAACTTGAGACATAACCACACTAAAATGCTGCTTCAAAACGCTCCTAAACATGCATGAAGTTGCGATGTCTTTTCTAATGAATAAACTTTATGAGGTTTGGAAATAAAGCTTTTCTATTCATGTTTTCTGAAGGACTATAACTGCAATGTGGAAAAATGAACCGGCCAACAGATAATAATCAATAACTTCCTGTTAAAAGCACTGTCACAACACCAGTGTAGCTGCAGCTTAGCTAAATAAAAAAATGCATCCTTAAATAAACAGATAAATGTTTATAGAATATATAACTGTAACGTGACGGCATTATGAGTGGCGACATCTCTCATAATGCCCAGTGAAAGGTCAACCAAGTTCAAGAGCCAAACCACGATGTTAGTAAAAAAAAAAAGAAGAAAATCATCACAGACAAGCCTTGAAATGTTGATTTGACAGTCATATGCCAAACACCTTTTTTTCTTTATTATAATGAATAAATGAGACCACGTTTACTCCACTTTGTTCGCACGAGGGTGCTGATGTGATCAGGTTTCACTCACACAAAACTGTTAGCAGCACTAAGCACTCTGGTAATTATTGCGAGCCAATTGTAAACTGCCCTGGCTATGAATGTGCCACTGAATCAAGTAAATTATAATAGAAGCTTTGTTAAGTTCTTCAAGCAGCAGTTAGTTTTGGCTAACTTACCGTCAAGTATACTCTGAAATATTAATTCACTCAAGTACCCTTTAACAGTCATACATTGAAAATATTCACATAAATAAAGGGACACTACATATGAATGTGTAGTTTCGGAATACTGGTGTTTCATTATGATCTTTTTAAAAAGCTGGGTGGAAGGAATAGTATGTAAGGGAGTAAATTAAACATCGTTAAACTTGAAATTTCGATCCATCTTACATTCAGACACAAACATCTCTATCTCTACCTCTCTCTCTCTTGCACGTCCACACACACACACTCACACATGAGAAGGTGAGGAAGAGGAATAAAATAATAATAATTGCTGCAGTGTTACATAACAAAACCACCATATTGTCACGAGGCACGCCAAAGTAGAGAATCCCAGATTAATTATGACCACCTTGAATTCTTCAATGCATCCCTGAATCTAAGCACACAGGTGTATTTTGCATTTGACCTAGCCGCGGGAATAGAACCCATGCCCTTAAGCTTAGCAAAGAGAAGAAAATGCAATATTCTCATCAGACATCACAAATTATGCAACTGTGTTATGCTTTTTCTTAATGAGGCTGACGTACGATACAATGAAACATCCACTTTGACAACCATTTTATAGAGCCAAAACTGGCGGACATGCCATACGTAACAGTATGCAGGTTTAGATGTTTCCAAGAGCAATGAAATGTATAAAGCATTGTTTTATATTTCTATTGCTGGCACAATAATGGCATTGTACCATAACTAGGAAGTGTGCATAATAGGAACCCCACTTAACCAAATTATTAAGCTGAAAACTATTGTAATACAGGGTCACATTTCGTATTTTTATTTCAGTTATGAGGAGCTTTATTTGCATCATATGATAAAAGTAAACATTAGAGCTCTAATACTAAAACTATATTTTCCTGACGAACCAAGAACAGTGACTACGCATTCAACATAGTAGCTTGAGCTGTTAAATACTGCTAATCACCTGTTATCTATTTTCAGTACTCCAGTTTTCAGTTTTTATTATGCCATAGCTTTATGTGTGACATCAGCATGCCAGCTTTATTTATGTACTACAAAGTCAGCAATAAAAATAAGATACCGAAGGAGCTATTTCAGAACTTATCCTATCTATCACCTCAAAATAAGCTACCTAAGAGAAAACAAATTATGCTGAAATAAAAATAAAATCAAAGTTTATATAATATCATTTGTACATCACTAACGCTGATTTCTACTTGTAAGCCACATTTAAGTAGTCTCAAAATGGTGCTATACTGGCATCTATGACTCCAGTTAGTTCCATGACACTCGTGTATGAGCACCTGACAAATGGCATGAGGATAAAAGATCAAGCTGTTATGATAAAGACCAGCTAAAGGAGGAGATCAAAATAAGCATAGCTACTAGTACAGCATCAGGTGTTCAACACCTGATAAGCACAATTCAATCTGCACTTTCGGAAAATGTGTCCCCGCATGACAGCATGTGAAAATGCTCGACAGCACTGAAGTGCTTCAGTTATGCTTTGACTTACTTTGCAAAAATGCAGCCACTATACAGTGCAATGCACAGGAAGTCTAGGCTTAGTTTAGTAGTGTTTAGGTTCAGCATTGCTTTGCTTATACACATTGGTCGGTTACAAATGCTGGACTATAGAAGTTTAATACCATGATATTGTTACTTGTGTTCTGGGAAGGGGACCACATTGGCTGTAATGCAGCCTGTCAACAATAAGATGTGTAAAGATGTGTAAGATGTGCAAATGAATACCCACAGGAGTAATACAGCTACTATGAATCAATGTTGAGATACAGGCAAAAGCACAATTGCCTGCAGTATGAGCAAAGTTCAAGCAGAAATGCAAAAAGTAAATTGGGCGACAAAAACAAGGAGGAATTGCTGCACTCTTATGATCATGCATGTAGGCAGAAAGCAAACGGCTAGGACGTTTCTGCAGCAGGTGAATGTGGTGCATGAAATAGATTTTAGCTTAGAAAAGTGTGTTGGCACTAGAATATCAAAGCAGCAAATGATCAATGACAATGGTGTTTGGCCTAAACACTTCCCTTGGTTGAACAAGAAATTTAGCAGAAAATACAGATTTATCAAGAAGCTTCACTGTCAGTAAATAGCCACTGGAATGGCACTTAAGCTCCCTCAGGATTGATACCCAACTGCTACCGGCTACGAAGTTATGCATCCAAGTGGCCATTTCTGTACCATGAAACAAAAGCAATGACATTCTAATGCAATGCATCTACAAGGCATTTTCAAGCACTGCAAGTGATCCACATCAAAAGAATCCCTACAGTGCACATTCTCTTGAAACATGCAGAATTTTTTGTCCAGAAGCTTTATTATTATATTGACTATAAAAACAGAAGCATTTGCAGGAGCAGAAAGCAGGCAGGAGGGCTTTATTGGCAGGCTACTCATGCAGGTAGCAGCGCGTCTCGTTTTTGCGGCAGGGCCCCACTGCAGCTGTTGGCTGGAAGTACCTGGAGGCCACTGTTGGACAGGCACCTCCAACCAAGTTTTTGAGAGGTTGTCGCACACTGTGTGCGTAGTTGCTCTTGGGGAAGAGGAAGTGTGTGTTGGGACAGCTATGTGAGAATTCCTCCTCCGGGGCGTAGAAGATCATTCGCGGTGACTGCATCTGTGATCCCAGGTGCCACAAAGAAAGAGAGAGAACAGGGTATCAAACTCCTGAATGTGACTTGGCATTTCTGAAGTCCTATAGTGCACGACGAGATGCTATGAGTAATGAGTAAATATATAAGCATATATCGCTACCTGAAGAGCCCCAGAAAAAAAAAAAAAAACGCCTCCAGCACAATTGGTTTCATACCTGGGTTCTCCACTCTTCTTCATCTCTCACTTAACAAAACTTCTATTAAATCAAATACATTTTCCTGGTCCCTTCAGCTTCCGTTTAACAAGAGTCTACTGTATGTTGAACTCTATTTACTAATTGATAAATAGAGATTGTGTTAATTTTATTAACACTGTTTTATATATCACACTTTCCATTTCTAAAGAATTTTTATCCATTTTCACCTGAAGTAGTATAATGATTCAAGGAGAGTTAAAAATAATATAATTACTTTGTGAAAAAGACCAGTATGAGAAGCCATAGAACGCTTAGCATTAAAAACAGCAGAGTAAAGGACTTGAGAAAATCAGTGTTACTGTACACAGAAAGAAATTGGTGCATAGAGCTAGCACACACAATAATGAATTAACACTGGACAAATTAACATCGTACCCGTTGTCACACTGATGAGATAGGTTCAAATAATGAGCTTACCGTAAACATGCAAGTCTAATGCTTTTCATTCACATCTGTAATGCTACAGTAGCTTAAAGAACACCTCTATGCATCCATTGATCCATATCTGCTATACATCGTTCTTAACACTGCCAAAGGGAGGGTTATGCTGACCTCTATTGCCACAAGAAATTACCATTGCTCCGCGCAACACGGACATTGGGAACCAGAGAAACGCTAACGGCACGACTACGAGCGACAAAGCCAGCCGCAATGCATGAGCCAGCCCTGCATGCGCCCGGTACTCCGCCAAACCAACGCGCGTGAAGAAGAAGAGAACGAGGGTGCTCGAGGCAGAGGCTCACAAGGACTACCGCCCTTAGATCTTCTTGATTGCTGTGCGTCGTTCACTTTGGGCACAAGTTCGCCCTTAATAAACCATGTAAATAGAACATCGTTGTTGTGAGGCTGCTACATTCATTACATTTTCTGGTGGAGGTGCTGGGTAGATGATTCCAACCCCCACGAGAGAGCGAAGTCCAAGCTCTGACCATCCGCAAGCCGTGGAGCTTACGCCGGTGCACCAACGGATCAGTCGCCGTATTCGAGGGGATTCACCAGAATTTGGACCACTTCCCCCTGTGCCAAGGGCATCAGCGACGGAAACAAGAAACGCCACCACCATGACTAGCCAAGTCGCACCATCACAGCTCATTGTCAGCCAGCCCGTCATACCGAAGGTGTTCCATGGTGACCCGTTCGAGGATGCCGAAGACTGGCTGGATCATTTCGAGAGGGTGGCGAACATAAACCAATGGAACGAAGCAGGCAAGTTGCTCAACGTATACGTCTCTTTGGAAGACGCAGCGCGAGTGTGGTACGAAAACCACGACGCATCTTTGACGTCCTGGAAAGAGTTCCGGCGGCAGCTACTGCGTACGTTTGGCAACAATGATCGCCGGGAAAAGGCAGAAGCAGCTCTTCGTGCACGGAATCAACGCACAAATGAGACTGTCGCTATGTACATAGAAGACATGTCCCGCCTGTTCAAGCGAGCTGATCCCAGCATGACTGAAGACAAGAAGGTGCGTCATCTCATGCATGGGGTAAAACAAGAGCTGTTCGCGGGACTCGTTCGCAATCCGCCGCGCACTGTTGCTGAGTTTCGGTCGGAAGGAACAACAATAGAAACCACGCACAGCAATCAAGAAGATCCAAGGGCGGTAGTCCTCGTGAGCCTCTGCCTCGAGCACCCTCGTTCTCCTTCACGCGCGTTTGCTGTTCGGCGGAGTACCGGGTGCATGCAAGGCCGGCTCGTGCATTGCGGCTGGCTTCGTCGCTCGTAGTCGTGCCGTTAGCGTTTCTCTGGTTCCCAACGTCCGCGTTGCGCGGAGCAATGGTAATTTCCTGTGGCACTATGTTGTCGGGGTGCTGACACCCTCTTGTAATAATGTTTGCGCTGCGTAGTGCATGTATCTCGTGCAGAAGCTGCATTTCGGAGTCACAACTATTGAGTGGTAGGTGACGTGTTCGCGAGCGTTGATCACCACTATCATCATCATGGTTGTTAGATCGGCAGCGCCGGCGGTGACACCTGGCCGCAAGCCTGGGTGGCGGTGCAGGAAAAAGCGAGTCTCTTAAACTCGTTTCGGCTGGTGGGGTTTGGCGAGAACGGTTGTTTCTCGCAGTGGGACCCCAGTGCACGGCACCGCGGGCCGTCTGCCGGGGGCCCTTGTGGTGGGTCAGGCGTTAGCGACACCGCCTTGTTTGTCATGTTGTGAGTGTTGTGTAATATGGTGTAAGGTTGTTTAGCGTGTGGATCACAATTGGTGTTATATAATAATTTGGCTGACGATATCATCGTTCAAAAATTAGTTAAAGAAATGTGTGTGGCTTGGTTTGGTCTGACCACATCTGCTGTGAACGTTCACTTCAAGAGCATGGCGCTCGCCATATAGAGACCTTACAATGTTTGGCTGAAATTCTCGTTTTTTTGCAATCGGAGTAGCAGTGAAATAAATAGTTGCTTGAGAAATACCCCTGCCCAGCAAAATGTTCATGCAAGCACTTCTATTGAACACACACACGTACGTAGATGCGTGACGCAAGTATAAATTCTCTACACATTTCTGTGACGATTGTTAGACAAATTACTGATAAAAATTTTTTTACTGACCATGCTTTATATCAGCAGATAAAATCAACACTGCAAGTTGATTGCTAAATAATTATTATTAGGCAAAATTGAGCTTAACATAAGGCAATCAAAAAAGCAAATGGAACCGACGAACATCCACCACCTTACACTATAGCACTTTGAATGGAACGAGAACTCTAGAAAAAATGAAAACAAAAAAATTCCGCCATATCCACGAAGTGAATGATGATGAGTGGGCGAAGCTCCGGAGGTAAACCTGGTAAACCATGAATCCTCTGTACATTTTGCCCACTCGATTTTATTACATCGCTCCCCCTAGCGTACGTCGCCACACTAAATCGAACGATTGCCTTCAACCAATGACACGCGCCATATGTGACATCATTCCTATTTTATAAGATCTCGCGTCTTTCATCAACTACAAGTACCGCTTTCTAGTTTATAACATCTTGCATCTTTTCATCATCAGCTACAAGTACCACCATCTAGTAAACACTACAAGAACTAAACGAGAGGTGGCTACATACAGGAGACGGTACCGCCATCTAGTGAACACTGCAAGAACTAAACTAGAGGTGGCTACATACAGGGGACGGTACCGCCATCTAGTGAACACTGCAAGAACTAAACTAGAAGTGGCTACATACAGGCTACAGGGGACGCACAGCCCACGCCCTAAGGAGCTTCGCCCCTAAAACCAGACGGAACTTATGTGCAAAGGTGGCAGGAATTTCTTCGCCATGAATAGAGAATGGAAACATACTTAAGCCGAAATCATTAGTCTATTCAATGCAAGAAGTCCAAAAGTGTTCTGCGCTTTCTGGTCACAGCAGCACATCGATTACAACACTTGCCACATATACCATAATGCTTGCTGAAAGCAAAGCCGTACAGAAAAATGAAAGCTTTCATGTGTGTACAGTAGACTCTGAACAATTCAAACTCAAAAGGACCTCAAAATTTTGTTTGAATTATCAGAAGTTCTCGGTAACTAATGCTGCAATGCTCGTTTCTCAGGGCTACCGCAACACCAGAGACAGCTCTACATGACTGCCAGTAAATTTTTCAGACATAAGCAATCATACTGGTACTTGTTATACAATGTATGCGTGTAGTTAAGAGACGAAATGCTATGCGTCCTGCAACAACCAATGGTCCCTTTTAAATCTTAAGATGCTTTTCCGCATGATATCATTGTACTGTGGCGAAAGTAACTTTTGAAGCGTTTGGCGCTGTGATAGGCCAAAACCATACAGACCACTTGGATTTTCTTCTTCTTCAGTCAGTACGCAATTGTTGGCACTTGACGTGCCTAGTTCGGCTGTTGGGTAGGCAGGAAATTAGCTATGTTTGCAACAATTAGTCGCATAACAATGAGAATGTTCTGCTAAAAGCCACACAGACAGCAGGTTTTTCCATGCGTGGGTGAGCAAAAACTTCAAATAAAGGGTTTAGAGCAATGGGGCAGTTTTAATTCAATAGGTTTAAAATACACCAAAACATAATGGGCCATCCAAAATTTAAGATTTGTTTGAGTTAAGCAAAACTTTGAATTATCGAGAGTCTACTGTAATGTGGCAACAACGGCTGTAAATGCTCTGTACTTTGAGCAAAGGTGAATTTATTTTTTATCGTAAGAATGTGGAAGACGGTTTGGCAGCTAGAGGTATTTAACATTTGATTACAGAAGATCAACACATGGTGTACTAAGGTGACACATTCCTAACATTTTACACAAAAAAAGAAAACACATGAAATCTCATTTTCTAAGCCCGGCAATTACGTATTTTAGCTCAAAAGAAGTAACACCCGTGTGTTTCAAGCGGGCAAGTGAAGTGCACTAAGAAAGAGTGCACTTCTGAACTCTGAGTGATACTTTGGGATATGCGCTGTTAAACGGGAACAACGGCAACAGACAGACTGTGAGCATGTTTTCTGAATATATATATATATATATATATATATATATAATATATATACATATATATATATGGCACAACGGGAGCGTTGTCAACAAGAATAAATATATTTATTTCCCAACAGTTTCGGGAGGGGTCCTCCCTTCATCAGGGGATGAGTTATACCTCAGGGGATGAGTATAACTCATCCCCTGATGAAGGGAGGACCCCTCCCGAAACTGTTGGGAAATAAATATATTTATCCTTGTTGACAACGCTCCCGTTGTGCCATATCCCATACCTTCACGAAGACTAACTGGCCCATTGAATTATTACTCCCACTATATATATATATATATATATATATATATATATACGTCAGAAATATAATTGTTTTACAATGATAAACACAGACAAAGTTATTGCTTTCTCACTGAAAAATGCAGCAGTCTCTCATACAAGCGTTGCAAAGAAAGGCTGGCCAAGATGCAACAAAGTGCGTTCCCGAAACGCACTTCAACCAAAGTATACCCTTTTACAAGCGACACCTCACTTAGGTTATTCAGATTTGATAAAGCATACTTTAGCCAAAGTGTCCATGAGTACACTTAAATATCTTGTCTGCCTGACATGAGTTTAAGTAACAAAGTCCTTTTGCATGCTGCTTAGTAAACTGTTTTTTATTTGTCATTCTCGACTCACCATGTCGAAGTGAGTCCGATTTATGCGTGCTAAGCTGAGTGGGAGAAGATGGGCCTCAGTGGTGAAGACAAAATGGTCCAAGTCTAGGGGCAGATCCTCTGGTGAGGCGAACAACAGGTACAGGTACTTGAGTGTCTCCGCTAGCACAAATGAGTCCATCCTGCGCATATGTAATCAGGGAAGCATGCCATAAAGAAAGATGTACTGTGACTACGAAAATAGAGAGATATGGGGGAGTCTCAAACTTTCTGACGAAGAAACTCGCCAGCCTTTCGAAACAACTATGGAACCATGTTTGATCTCCTTTTTCCACTGATCTGCTCAATAATATATTTACTATGAATGCCACAATGCATCGACCGTATGGTTGCTTACACACTGTCTGAAACATAAAAATTTGAAAACAAAAATAGCACAAATAACTGGATCACTTAAATGAGGCGATCAGCGTATGACTCTGTGTCATTTCATCCACTGGCATAGCCAGGGGGCAGGGAAGGACTGACTCATCCCTGAAAATTTCCACTTTGGTGAACATATATAGACATACACGGATAAAAACACGCACACAAACAACATACTATATACATGTTAAGTGTTTTTCCCCCCTCCCCTTAAAAAAATTTCTAGCTATGCCCCTGTAGTTAGAATCGTGCTGCAGCCACAGACTACACCCCTGAAGCTTCAGTATGATACCAGCTAACATCAGCCAGGAATGTTCCAAAAAGATATATACTAGATACCACATTGACCTCAATAAAACCTTATACTGGTGCAGTTCTTACAGATTGAAGTGTGAAAGTTTAGGGTTAAGTACTGCACTTGCTTTTATTTCCAAAGTCTACAGTTCATGTCATATCATATCATATCAATGTAATCTTGACTCAAAAGCTAATGTTACATTACAAACATTACATTTAGCAGCTAGATTTGAAATAGCATGATGCACTTATCATAAGCTACTGCTCACAGTAGTCATTATACTAATAAAATGATGTCATATAAATAAGCATGTACTGTACATAATTAGATGACCAAGACCAATGTAATTTTCTTTATCTCAAAATAGGAAATTTTTCTAAACTGTGATTAGTCCAATACTTGGTTACAGTTTACCTACAAAAAAAATTTAAATATTTCTTTTGGGGCTTAAGTTATACTTGAAAACTGGTACAGAATGCTCAGGAACATCAAAGAAAATTAAACACAAAACAAAATTATTTCCACAATGTTCTTGCTTATTTAGTTAATTTCTGGGCTACGAAAAAAGCTTGAGCGAAAGCTTGGAAAAAAAAAAGTGTTGGCTGCACTTTTTAGTATACAGTAAAAGCTTTTTAATTCGAGCGAACATCCTGTCACATCTCTGTGTATTTCTATAGGGGGAAACTCAATAATAGAACGCATCGGTATCTACAACGGTTAATTCATACTGGAAATCCCCGGTATTCACCGCTCCTTGAAGAAGTTAGCCCAGACTGATCACAATGTGCTGCAACACCGAACCAAGCCAAATTTACAAGAGATTTAAAACAACAAAACTGCAGCATTTCTCTGATGAGAATGCAGATACTATGCTGGAGTTGTGATGGAAGAAATGCAAGCAAATGCAAATTATTGATTTCTTTTCATTTTGATTACATTAACTCTGTCATGTAATTAAAGAGTTTTGGAGCATATATAGTGTCGTATATTTTGACTTGACGGCTTGAATGAATTTAAATGCTTGTTTCTGGGGTGTCACTGACTGATGAATTAATCGTTCACAGTTAGAGCTCCATGAACTATTTCACGAAATCACTTGCCAGAAATATGCAGTAAAACCTAATTCACAAAAACAAGACCAGATGTGGCTTTCTGGGTTGTGCCCGCCCAGAGTGGCGTTCATTTTAGTCCCAAGCTGGTAATTCAAACTCCGATTCATTCAAACAATTTCATGGTTCTCTTCGAGTTGAAATTAATTAACATTTCACTGTATGTCATCCCGATGGTTGCTAGGATCAAGGTCTGCCAGGGATGTAAATATAAACAGCAAAGATAGTGCTAACCAAAAACATGGATGCACTCACCAGCTCTCAACAGAAAAACAAGTTTTATTGTTTGCAAATGCAACAGAGAACATGGTAATATAGTGCTGCAGAGATGGATTTTTGCTTCTTGGCTTTTTTTGTCAAACCCTCAGCAAATAACAATACTTTCTAAAATGCAGTAAAAGAAATATTTGGTGTTTCTAAACAAACTCTACAACTGTTCAAATACAATTTAGGCACAAAACATATTCACTTTAAGTTTTAAGTAATCAAGCATAACTATTAAGATGACCAATCACACATTAAAAAGCAAATAAAAGTAATATTTCCCTAACAACATTTCATTTATCCATAATGTACAGATCTGTTTTTAGTTATAGAGCATGTTCAATTTACTCGTGTTTATGTTGGAACATTTAAACCTTGTCATAAAATATTTTAACACAGGATCAATTACTATAGAGGTTACCACCAATAAGCACAAGCTTTACCTCTTCCTCGAATTTTGATGATTCCGTCCACCATTATTTAAAAATGTTTTTTAACAAATATTTTTAAATCTTGTGTGATATTTGTATAAAAATGTGCACCAATTATTTGTTGTATACCTTTTTTTTTGTACTGAGCTGAAATAGTTGAAATTTGGCAAATTAACCAAGCACATGCTTGTCACACAGACTGCTCTTCATTATCCACAAGCAAATAAAAGGGGAATGCTTTGAAAGTAAAAAGATAACATGTTTGGCTCAGGGGTGACAATGGTCTTAAGACTAAAATATTCATAAAAACATTTTTTTTTAATATAGCCTTTTGGGAATCCACATTCATTATTCTGCTTAAAGAGGCCCTGAAACACTTTTTCAAGTAACCATGGAATGAATTAACTGGAAGACCTTATTGCCTCATGAATTCAATGCCGCAAAAATAAAAAAAAAATCCTCCCAGTACGAGTCGAGTTGCAAAGATTTATCGCATGCTACGATCGCGTTCACTCTTCTCTCGTCCCGACAAAAGCACTGGAAGCTAAGCAGGGAGAGATGACAAGGGAAAGAAAATAGGTCACATGCACCTCGTCACCTTAAGCACTTTTCCTTTGTTTTTTTTTCTTCGAATGTGCAGCTTTTTCCGTGTGACCGCGCTCAAACCCGTGGACAAGTGACGGCCTCTTGTGGCGATCTCTGTGTAACGACCGAGTGCACCATGTTCAAATCAGCCAACGGTTGATAGATGGGTTTTCTATAAGTAATTTTTGAGCGTATTTCGCCATTTGTCAAGGGAAGAGAAAGCAATTTTCAGCTGACTTTGATAATTTATTGTGAATTTCAGGCCACGTGCTGCGCTATAATATTAGGCTCGCGTGTTTTCGGGAGCCTCTACTACCGATCGGCTACGTTTTTTGACTATGCTCAAAAAGTGTTGCAGGGCCCCTTTAACTGCCAAGTTTCCTATCTCTGACATTAATATTTTGGCTGTAACATCAGTATAAAAACATGTAGGACACTTAAATTTTTTTGCCCGTCTCAATGCTAAAACAAGTACATTCAATGATTCCACATTTGCAGTATGCTGCCTTGAGGATTTACCAATTGCAGCTAACTAATGTTTCGCCAGTGTGCATGTGCACACACATCTGTGCTTCTCCACAATGAAATGTCACACATGCTTGTTTTTTTTTTGTCTCAAAACACTAATTTTGCACACAAGGCAAGACGTTTACTACTCTGTAAGACAGTAGCAGCGTTGGAGTCTCGACGGCGTTTATTAGGCTGAATCGCCTGATCAACCCTTCGAACGAAGACGACGTTTTTCGTGGTGATGATTATATACAGATGAAGAAGATGAAGGTCAAACGTTGTCAATATTGTGCAATATATTAGTGGCCATCACAGATAGAATAAAAATTCTTTTTACTGCATGATGCTAAGGGTTTGGAGCACACAGCCCAAAAAGCAAATTTTATTTATTTTGGTGTCAAGTTTTTTAAAATTTGCCTTTTGTGTGACCACTGCATCACCATGTTCATAACAATAGAGTTTAATGTGCTCTAAAGTAAGAAATAATCACACAAAAATAAAAGTGCTTTCTTTGTTGTGAACCTTGTGCTTTTTGCTGTCGATGCATATGTCATTTGCCTATTTTTATGAGATAATCACTTCCCTATGGTAGTAATAACAAAATATATTGTCTTCTTAATTATATATGAAATAATAAGCTTGCAGAAAAAATAACTGCATCTTTAGAATCAGGAGACAAAACTAAACAAACCATGCCAACTATTATCGAATTGGGTTCAGAAACAAGTAACGAGAGCTTTAAGACCCATATGTCAACCTCCTAAAAAAATACACCTGGATCGTCATGCCAACAACAGTTATATGACAATACGTAAAAAGAGACTGTATCCCCGAATCATAGTTTAAAATGTACAGCAACAAATAAAATACATTTTCTGCATGCCTTATTGCATATGTTAAATCCCTTCTTTATAAACTACTCATTATTACCATGAAAAATAAAATAAGAAGAGTTGAAAATGTACTTTACAAGAATGATTCTAAAAGTTCTGCCGGGAGTATTGGTTACAACACCAGCATTTTATGAGCTCCATGTGACTGCCTACTAATTGGCGCCTACTGTGCCTACTTACTAATTGGCGCCTACTGTGCCTACTTACTAATTGGCAGTCCTTCCCTGCTCGTATACACTTGCGCAGGGTTCTCTATGCGTGGGTGGGGGGGGGGGGGGGGGGAGGAGCCAAGTTTTGTTGCCTACACCTTTCGCAACGCCTCCACCATTATCACCCACCTGTCCTCATGTGTTCCAGTACGAACATCCTTGACAGCGGCAAATCCACAGGGCACTCTTGCATGCTTCTGCAATGATTCCACCACTTTACGGCCAGCTTCAAGGTAGTAGGGATCCCCTGTTGCCTGTACATTAAACGTGTAAGAGAAAAAAAGAGAGAGATTCAATCTTTTTTCACAAATATAAAAGCAAGTACAAATGACAGCAAACATTTTGGGATATTTTAAATACAGTACACACTTGGAAGGGAGTGTCCTTACTGAAGGAGAGTGAACTACAGACATTTGTAACAATTAGGATTATTAAATAATTATGGAAACACAATTACTGTGCAGAAGTTGCCAGACTACTTGAACAGTACACAGTACGAATAACAGACTGCTTATAATGTAAGTCAAGTCATGAATATCTACACTATAAGTGATACTGCACTACAGACGGAACATTTTGCAAGGGCTGCACAAGTGCGAAACATTTTCAGCAAGAGCCACATGTGACTCGGAACTGAGGCACACGGCAGCTAGTTTGCATGTTTAAATTTTTGGATGTTAAAAGGTTAACGTTTGAGAACCCGTTTTGCCAAATAGATGAATTAAGGGAAAAAAAATAAGCTAACAAAAGAAAGCGCAATCCTGGGAAGTCCATGACTAACTTTTCTACATGCATGACTTGTTGAACTTAATTGTGGAACCGCATTACACAGAAACTATGTTGAATGATGACAGATATGCTGCGTGGTGTGTGATATCTCATTCTATTGCTCAGGTGCATCCGTCGTCGTAAGCAGGCAATCATTTGAGGATTGTACATACACTACACACCCTTGCTCTGGCTGAATATGCAAAACATCTTTTCCAAATTGCAAAAAATCCCTCTCAAAATTCAGCCACTGCAAAGAGTAATGTTCACGCAATATCAAACTATAACTTTGCACGCAGCAGCAGCACACCCATTAGACTTAGCCTGCGGGTTTTTGTATTGTCATTCTAACCTTGCTCAAAATGACGACTGAGTGTCGAAGAAATTCTACTGGCCCTTCCAAGTATGTTAGTATGCATACTAACAGCAAAGGCAAAAGTTTCGAGTCATTAAAACCATAAAACTTTTAAATTTGCAGAATACCACCCATACGAAATTGTACATGAGACATCTGTACTCTCATCAACACAACTGGGTCGTTCCATGCCAAATCATCCAGCGTTTTTCCGACCATCACGAATATGGCTGAAAAAACTTCCACATGTTTCTCCAAGTGCAAAACTTACCCTGGTCATTTATTTCCATTGCTAAAAATTTTCCTCCCTGTGTATGAGAGTCTGTAGTTTGGTGCCGACTGAACTAAAAGGCGTCATACAATAATTTTTTTCAAAAGACGTTTTTGGAGTGCTATCAATAAAATGGCAGTTCTGACAAGTTAATAAAGTGATCTAACTAAAAATAATGATTTAATTATGTATATCGATTCTTCGAAGGCTTTTCCCATGAGTAATATTGAATAAAGTTGCCGAATTTTTTTCTGGGAACATGACAAGCTCTAAGGACACAAATAAAGTATGTACTGGTGGCCTGTTTGAAAAATAATTTACTCACTAAAGTTATAGCAGATAGTCTGAAAAAAAAAAAAAAAAAAGATGTGAATGTCACTTTTTTTGGGTGGGGGGGGGGGGGGGAAAGCCTTGTATTCAGCATAAAAAAACTTGCCTTGGTGGTCGGACTAAAAATATGCATAATATCTAATTTGAAAGCTCTACATATTAGCTAAAAATAGGTGAAGTTACTAGAGGGCATTATTTTTTAAACTTGAGATATATTTTCTTGAAATTATGTATCTCCACCAGCTTTTTGCACACGCAAGTCAAGCGGCATGACGCACTCGCAAGGGCAATCTTCTGCAGAATGCCATTGACCTGGGATAAGAACAGCAAACTTGGTGCTCTCTACAGAGCGATTCAATTGGAAATGAAGTTATCATCTGCATTCCATGGCCAACTGAGGGGCGCCACAATGAATGTAGCTAGAGTGTGGAGACCAGTAGCGTAGCAAAAAAATATTTTGCGGGTGGGCGTGGCGTGTCAGGGGGAAGGTGATTTCGGTCACACGCTGTGCACGTTTGTATATGTGTTTGTATGTGTGCACGTATACTATATGCACATGCACAACTGAAAAATACCTGGTCTGCAATAGGGGAGGGGGCAGTGACGCAGCTTCTCCTGCCTTCCTGGCTACACCGCTGGTGATGACCAAGCCGTTAAAAAGTATACAGTATGCAATAACATGTTACGCACAACATAAAGGTGACTGTCGGCTCGGCTATCAGTTCTTAATTTAAAGTTGTTTTTCATTTGTGTAGTCATATGACAGGCTTTGGGTCTCAAGGAGCAAGGCTGCTCTCCTGAAAGACGGAAAAATAAGAAACATTTGTATTACGATAGCGTTCATCAGTGTACTGCGTCAATGCTACTAGCGTGCTATAAGACTTATGTACTGAATATGATGTAACACTTTTATTAAGTGTATAAAACACACCTTCGGCATTTGCAGAACTCCCCAGGAAAGTTAAATTTCTGATGATAAATCTCTAAATCTGCATGGCTCATCTGGAAGTCACTACACTGATTCTATTTCTTGTAGTGCCCCTCATTTGGCATTGGAATGCAGATGATAACCCCATTCCTATTTCAATTGCTCTGTAGAGAGCATAAAGTTTGCCGTCTGTATCCCAGGTCAGTGGGATTCTGCTGAAGATTGCCCTTGTGAGTGGGTCATGCCGCTTGAGTTACCTAGGAAAAGAACTGGTGGAGATACATAATTAAAGAAAAAAATGTTTCTCGAGCACGAATAATTGGGCTAGTTGGTATTGGTTCATCTTTTAACTGAAAAAGGGCACACCCAAAGACACAGACACTACAACAGGAAATTCTTGGAACAGGCGCTCTTGGTTTGTGCAATTTCCTGTTCTAGTGTCCATGTCTGTGTGCATGCCCTTTTTCAGTTACAATATTTCTCGAGTTTAAAAAATAATACCTTCTAGTAACTTCACCTATTATTTGCTAGCACATAGAGCTTTCAAATGATATATTGTGCATATTTTTAGTCTGACCACCAAGGAAAGTTTTTTAATGCTGAATACAGAGCTTTTCCCAAAAAGAGTGAAACTCAACAAATTTTTTTTCAGACTATTTCCTATAACTTCAGTGCGTGCATTATTTTGAATTTGTAGCATGTCAAACAGGCCACCAGTACATATCTTATTTGTGTCCTTGAAGCTTGCCATGTACCTAGAATAAAATGCCAAATTTGGCAACATTATTCAATATTGCTCATGGGAGAAGCCCTTGAAGAATGGATATGCATAAGTAAGTCATTATTTTTACAGTTAGATCACTTTATTACCTTGCTGGAAATGTCATTTTATTGATTGCACTCCAAAAAAGTCCTTTGAAAAACATTGTTGTTTGATGCCTTTTAGCTTGGTCGGCGCCAAACTACAGACTCTCATAAAGAGCGAGGAAAATTTTTAGCAATGGAAATAAATGATCAGGACAAGTTTTTCACTTGCAGAAACAAGTGGGAATTTTTTCAGCCATATTCGTGATGGTTAGGAAAACGCTGGATAATTTCGCATTGAATAGCCCGACTGTTTCAGGTAGCAAACCAAAGAGCCGAACAGTGGTAACGCACACACTATGCAAATGTGCGCATGCGCTCCATGTGGAGCGCATGGTGCCGAAAAGCAGTTGGAGCCAAAACTGAGAAAAAGCTGCTGTCCGCTTGGCAACCACCCTTATTTCTCCCACAGCACGCCTACAATCCACTGCTGCTACAGTGTTTCTTTATTTTTCGTATTTTTCTCTTTTTATTTGTTCACTTCTGGTTTCCTGAATCTAGACTACTTCCAAGGTATTTTAGTCATTTCAGAGTCACAGAGAATCACAAAAAAAGACTGTTGTAATAAAAATAACCCCAGCTCTGAGTTCTTGACATTTGTTTTGGCTCATCACCTGCACGACTACTGCTTCACAATTCTTTAGTCAACATATTCACCATGCCAACCCACCAGCAACTAATCAAGGTCACTGAAATGATGAAAAAATATATATATATTCCAAGCCACGTTGAAAGCCTGTAAGGTTGACACTATAACTAAAACAGTTTGTACATATATAAATTCAAAAGGGGTTGTTTTTTGGCTGCCTAACAAAAATATAATACAAGCTAAACACTTAACTGACAAGAGTCTTTTGGGCATACAGAACATGTTTACATGGAAGTGTTTTATGCATAGGTTTACCAAGACTTTAGCTATATATTTCCATCACAGATGTGATGTTGATAAAATGGACGCCAAAGTATAAGAAAGAAAAAAAAAGAAAAAATCCAGCTGCCAGGAATCGAACCTACGACACTCGGACTGCGACAAAAGGTGCCCGGCACTTTGCCGACTAAGTTACTCAGGTATCATGAGAGGCTGCAGCGCATGTATAGACGGGGACGATGGATGTATGCACAAGACAAACACTGAACTGATACTTCATTCTCTGATGAACTAATCTTATATGGACCCAACAAGCCAATGAAAGTAATTTTAGGCCAAGCACCAAACAAAGAATAAAGTAAGAAAAAACCAACACTTATCATTTTTTGTTGCACACTGCCTAAATCTTTTCAACATTCGATTGATATGTTGGGTTTAACGTCCTAAAACCACCATATAATTATTAGAGACGCCATAGTGGAGGGCTCCGGAAATTTCGACCTCCTGGGTCTTTTTGACATTCGAAAATTCTATCTCCTTATTGGATAAGGTCATAGAAAGAGCTCTCATGAAATTTCTTTGCCATAATCAATTTCGTAAGCTTCTATTAACTTCAAGTGTCAGCTGATCGTTTGCTTTTTTGATTACTGAGCACTGCCCGAAAAGCGGTTCACAGGCACAACTCCTGCAGTGTATCAACAAGTGGCCAGATACAACTGTCTTTCCAACAAAATTCTTGTGGTCCTTGAGCTTGTCATTCAGACACCTACCAGATTGTCCAATATACCTTTCCCCGCAGGTCAAGGGTAGTGAGCAGACTACACCTTCTTCATAATTAACAAACTGCTCTCTGTGTTTTTTGGTGTATCC